AAATTTTTAAGATGTTTATTTCTGAGAGAGAGAGAGAGAGCAAGCAGGGGAGGGGCAGAGAGAGAGGGAGACACAGAATCGGAAGCAGGCTCCATCCAGGCTCTGAGCTGTCAGCACAGAGCCCGATGCGGGGCTCGAACTCACGAACCGCGAGATCCTGACCTGAGTCGGTTAAGTCGGATGCTTAACTGACTGACCCAGGCACCCCAGGCAGGTCCTATTTTAGAGACAAGAGGCTGAGGGAGGTGAAACTGCTAGCCCACCGTCACATTCCAGGTGTGCCTACTTCTAGAGTTTTCCAATGTTAGTACACAGGCGTCAGTCCAAACGAGCTTTCTCCTCCCTGAGAGTTGAGCACTTTTTTGGGCCTCCCCACTTCGGAGCGTGGAGTGTCGCGGGCAGGCCTCACGCACTTACAGAAAGTTCTCGGGAGCTGTTTGGTTACAGAAGGGTCTGGCTGGTGTAAGGTGGGTCCCCAGGCAAGGCAAGACAGGGCAATGCAAACGTTGACTTGGAACCAGAATCTACCCTAGCCCAACAGGAAGGGAGGCCAAAGGCTTTCCAGGAAGGGCTGGGACAGGGGCAAAGAGAAGGGAGTGGGGACAGGTTGGGAGCAGACTGGAACTGTCCCCAGGAGGGCAGGTGGGCAGGTGTGTGTAGTGGGGGGTGGGGAGGGCAGGCCGCAGGAAGAAGCACCAAAGATTCCCAAATGGAAGACACGCACGCCACATTTCCTGCTTCTGCCACCACCCCAGGGCCAACGCCAGCCAACCTCTGCATGAAGACACCTTCCCTGGCCCGGCCCCAGGGTCTTCCGACCACACCAACGGTTGGGTGCCATGATCTGTTTCCAGCTATGTCCCCTTCTCAGCAGAGCAAAGCTAGTCTCCGGTCCGGCTTTGGACATCTGGGGCCTTAACCCGGGACCGGGAAAGTACAGGAGCAGCAAAATCAGGGCATTCCAGGTCTTCCAGGTTGCAGGGACTCTGGAGAACAAGAGGGGTTAAAGAGGGAGAAGCAGAGGAGGGACCCTGAGCTCCCGGCCAGAGACGGGGTCGCTGACTTCCTCTGCACAGCAGAGGCCCTGCGCCAAGGGAAAGGGGGCAATGGAGGCTGTGGGCAGCCAGAGGGCCCTCGAGGGGAGTGCGCCAGCTGATGTCTGGCCCATGCAACGCCCCCCCACCCCCCGGTGGGAAGGGTGCAGTCGCACAGGAAGCAGGTGCCTGCAAAAGGCAACAGGTTCTCACGGATGCTAAGACGTGGGAGGATGCTGAGCTGGGGACGGTACCCTCCCTGAGACCGCAGTCAGCGGGAACGGGACTGCTCGGTCCCGATCCAGCTCTAGGAGGTACAGCTGCCCTCCAGTCACAACCAGAAGATGGATTTCACAGGCAGTAAATGCCCCTTCCTTTGGTAAAAATGGGGTCACTGAAGTCTCTCTTCTTCACACTCCGTCTCCTATTTCCTGAACCCCCTTGCCATGTGTGCTGGGGACATGCACGTGCCCACCTGCGCGCGGGAGGCCAAGGGACACACAGTAAGTACAGTACCGATCCCTCACACTCAGAGTGCGTCCTCAAGTTCAAGGGGTGACCTCACGCACAGCCCATTCGAGCCTGGCGATGACCTCCCATTTCACAGACCTAGAACACAAAGTGCACAGCAAGTGCCTTGCCGCGGGATTCACAAAGCTGGGGTGCGATTCTAGGTCTTCTTCCTCTCAAAACCGTGGCCCCCCTGCCCTATCTACAGGAGGTCAGAGATTTGTTCCATTTTCAGTGTGGTGCCTTTTCAGAACGGCGTAGGAGCAGGTTCGCACATGGAACCAATCCTGACCTCTTCCCGCCTTCCCTCGGTTCTAAGAGGGGACCTATGCAGACAGGGCAGGAGAAGTTGGAGACAAGGCAGGCGCAGGGGGCAGAAATGAGGGAGCTGGTGCCTAGAAGGAGGGGGCTTGAGGAAGGAGTGAAGCAAAGCCAATAGATGCGGTCACTCTCTGAATTATTCATCTTTTTTTTTTTTTTTAAGTGTATTGATTTTGAGAGAGACAGTGAAGGAGAGAGAGCACATGCGAGCAGGGGAGGGGCAGAGAGAGAGGGAGACACAGAACTTGAAGCAGGCCCCTTGCTATGAGCACAGAGCCCGAGCAACGCGGGGCTCGATTCCGTGAACCACGCGCTCATGACCTGAGCCCAAACCAAGGGCCGGACGCGTCACCAACTGAGCCACCCAGGCGTCCCTGAATTATCCATCTTTATGCCCAGGGCCCAGCCCAAAGCCACAGAGACAGTGAATCCGTGTGTCAGATGAATCGTAGTTGAAGATGAAAAGCCCCAAGTCCGGAAAGTTCGGAGGGCCAGAGGAAGAAAGGCTAGGAAGGGAGGGTGGATGGGAGAAGGGGAGGTGGGAAGATTCAGAAACCCTCGGCTTAGGGCTGAGCCCTGCCACTTGAGCAAAATTTTAAACTTGAGCGAGGTCTTTAAACCCGAGAGCAATGAGAGATACCTGTGGGGCTGAGCTAACACGCGGGCATGTGCCCTGTGAGTTGCAAAAATCAAGTTCAGGCAACGCCAAGTGCTAACTTCTGCAGAAGTGCCAAATGACAACGGTCCTTGGCTCAGTTGTCCTTTCGAGGAACAAGGAGGTGTTCCTGACTTCTGAGGCCTTTTCTCCAGGAGCAGGAAAATCCCTTCTTGAGGCCCCGAATGGTCTCAAGAATGGCTTCCTTGACTTCTGACCTCTTGGGAGGATGTTCCTGCCTTGCGATGGGCTCAAAACAGTGCACTGCAGTGCTCCGGGGGGGGAGCAGTCCCTGTCTGCTGCCCAGTCCCTCCCTAAGCTTGCATGGCCCAGACACTCTGTCTCTCCCCAAGCTCTGAGGAAGAGGTCCATGCTCTGAGGGGCAAAGCTACCTGCTGAACAGCTTAAAACCAAGGAACTCTTGATTCCTAACCTATTCCTGCCTCTCCGAGCCCTGCTTCCCGTGGCCTTTTCCCATCCTGGTCCCAGACAGCAGACAGAGAGAGAGAGAGAGAGAGAGAGAGAGAGAGAGAGAATCCAGTCTTTCACTCCACTGTTAACTCAACCACACCACCAGTTAGAGAATGCCGCTCCATAAAAGCCTCGTCGTAGAAGGTAGTAAGCTTTGGGGGAAAGGGTTGTATATAGGCATTGCTACTCCGATAAAAGCTGGCATAGATTCAAACTTCTTTCCTCCCAATTCCTTGTTGCTTACTTTTTAAAAATTGTATTTTAGAGAGAGAGGGAGAGAGAAAGAGCACAAGCAGGGGAGAGGGGCAGAGAGAGAGAGAGGAGAGAGAGAATCTCAAGCAGGCTCCACACTCGGCGTGGAGCCCAACTCGGGGCTCGATCCCACGACCCTGGGATTATGACCTGAGCCAAACTCAAGAGTCAGATGCTCAACCAACTGAGCCACCCAGGCGCTGCCCCCCCCCCCCCGCCGCCTTGTTGCTCACTTTACACAATCTTCATTTTTCTCCAACTTGTCTGATAACGCTTTGTCCGTGGCATTTTCCTAGCGTTTACAGCTTACGAAGTGCTTTGCCACACAATACATTATTTTTCCACATAAGAAAATATGTTTGATAGTGGCAAGACCCCAACCCGGAGTCAGGTCTTTTACTTGAGTCGCCCTTACCCAACTTCCCCCAACAGTTTGTGGGAAGGTCCCCAAGCCGTAACGCAGATGGTCTGAAAACCTCATGTCCACTAAGTGATGATTCGCATTACAGCCCCCGGGGCACTGTTCTCCAGCAGGTGAGACCGGATGGGCCCCAAAGCTGTAGGCATCTTCTCCTGTGGGCCCTCCTGGGGATCTCGCATATGCCTGGACCCTGCTCATCAAAGCAGCAAGCCATTAACAGCCGGAGATTATAGCTGCCTGGTCTGGCCTCCTTGGCTAGGCCTGTCCCAAGGAGCCTTGAAAGAGGCAGGGAGATCAAAAGTTGCACCGCCAGGGGCCCATACTGCTAGGACAGCAAAAGCCCCGAACAGCAAACGTCCAGCTGCAATGATCTACGTATCCCTCCCATGGCTTCTCCCCTCTTCACCCTGCCCAAGTAGCTTTCAGCTCATTGCCACCAAGAGAGGCTTTCTTCCCTCCTTGACTCTCTCTTCGCTTCCCTCTCTCCCATCTGAGTCCACTGGGCTCCAGCTGCACCTTAAAGAAATGCAAGCATTTCAGACTGGGGGCGGGGGTGTGAGGGGAGGGGGCTGGGAGGTGCCCCAGAGGCAGAGCCACACCTTTGGTGTGGGTAAGATGGGCAGCTGTGGCTCCTGCCGAGGCCCCATCGCCCCAATACCTTTCGGTGTGCAGATGAGGAAAGGGCATTCCTGGCAGGATTTAGAAACAGAGGACCATTGAGTAGTTGAGGAGCCCGCGAGTAACCTTGGTGCAGCTGGGACCTGTAGCCAAGCCAGCCTAGTGCTGCTGAATCCACGCAGCTCAAGGCCCCTCTCGACCTGGGCTTTGCAAACGCTCCTTCCAGTTCCCCACCCCGGGTCCCAAGAACCGACCCCCTGGTGGTCCTTGAGGGCTTGGGAACAGGAGGTCCCGGGCGGTCCCTTCGTGGCAGCCACTGTGGACCTTCTTAGACAAGGATTCCAGCAGGAGCAAGCCAGGCCTGGACGAGCTGTTTCCTCCCCCGCCCCCTTGTCTGGCTGGAGAGTGAGGGACGCGCGCTGAGTCCCACAACTGGCCCCTCTCCCGCTCGGTTCCGCGGTGCCCCTGAGCCGCCATCTTCCACGCTGGGGGTGCCACCCCCCCCCTAAAGCCCGATTGCCCCCTTTGGAGAGTCCCTAGCTCCGTGTGAACCCGGGGGGAGGAGCGGACGCGTGGGTCCCAGGGCGCGCAGTAGACCCCGCACTCTTCTCCACCGCCCGGATCTCCACCGCGGCGCTGCCTGCCGCGCCGCAAAATCCGACCCCCATAGCCGGGTGGCCCGGGCCGTCCTAAAGGATGAGGACTGGGGGGCGGAGGGTGAGCGCAGGAGGCACACTTTTCCTTTCCTCCCCGACGCCCCAGGCTCCATTCAGCGCTGGAGGTCTCGTCTGCAGCCCTGGGACTCCTGGCTCCCGACTCCCGCCTGCAGCAGAGAAAGGTGGCGGGGAGCCCCCAGGGCCTTACCGTCGCATCTTCCCCGGCGTAGTGCCCGATGACCCGCTGGCCCCCCGGGTGCCGGCTGGACCATTTGGTGATGTTGTAGACCTTGCGGTCGATGACGAGCCACTTGTCCGTGCGCAGGTTGTGCTTCTGAATCTCCTCCCAGCTGAAGGTGGGCATCGGCGCCTCGCGCTCGGTGGCCCCCCCGCCCTGGTTCCCCCCTTTCCCCATGCTGCCTGCCGCCCGGGACGCCCCGTGCACTGCGGCCTCCTACGCCGGCGGCCCGAGTGTGCGGCCCGGGCCCTGCTCGGTTTCGGCTTTTGTCTTCTCCTACTCCTCCTCCCGCCGCGCCCCCTCCCGGCCTCCTCGCCGCTCAGGAGTATCCTGCTATTCACCGAGTCTCTCCAGCTGGGGCCCTCAGTGGTCCTTCCTCCGCCCCTCCTCCGCCCATGGCCATGGTGGACTTTCGCCTCCAGTAAAAACTCCCGGGGAGCTCAGGACCCCGAAGCCTCCTCATGCCTCCGGCTCCCCCTCCCGCGGCTCCGCATCCTTCCGCGTTCTCCGCCCTTGAGTTTCCACAGTGATCAGCAGAGCGCTTGCACCGGGCGCGCGTCCTTTTTTCTGGTGGCCCAGGAGGATCTTTCGCTGGGTGCGGCCGGTCCCCATCCGTCCCTCCCCCGCCCGCCGCCCGCCCAGCTCGCGCGGGTGGAGCCTGCGGCGAGGCAGCTACGTCTCCTCCCTCCACCACCTCCTCTCACCGCCCCCCCCCCTCCAGCCCCGGGGCGCGGAAATCCCAGCCAGAACAGGCCGCGGCGGCGGCGCAGGGGCTGCAGCCCCACGCGCCCCACTCCAGGGCTTTGCACCCTGATGCCGGCCCCGCCTCCCGCAGCGGCGGGGCCAGGGTGACGCCCTTCCCCCGCGCTGGAATCCGGGAGACTCTGGTGTCTCCGCCTTCCACGCTGGCATAGATCCTGACCTCCTGGAGGCCGGCCTCAGCATCAGGAGCTCAGAACCCTGGTGATGCGGAGATCAGAGAAAAAGAATTGCAGGACCTCCTCACTGCCTCTTTGTGCAGGAAGGCGCCCGTGGTGTGGTGGCAGGGGGGCGAGGCGCGGCAGTGATCCAGGCGGTCCTGGCCCTGGACTCTAGGCGCACGGTCTTTGGAGACGGAACCGGCGTGCGGGCTGGGACCACGACTCACACTGGACAGTGAATGCATACAGACTCAGGAAATAAAGATGGAGGCAGGAGGCTAGGTGGGGGAGGCAGAGCCCCGGAGCTCCAACTGGATCGGTGTCTTCAGGCGAAAGGTCGCTGGAGCCTGGATCCTGAGGGAGTGGACTGAGGATAAGTGGATGTCAGGAAAACCGGGGGTGGAGTTGAGACAGCCTTGGGAATCAGGAGTAAATGAGGGGCCCTCATGGCCTAATGGGATGGTTTCTAGGTCCCCGGCTGGCATGCTCTCCTGATTAGGGTGCCCCCCAACCCTCTTGCAGTGAACATGTAACCAAGAGCTGACTCCATCTAGAATTCACTTTGCCCTGGACACTTCTCCCACCAAAGCTTGTTGTCCACTAGACAGCCTGTCTGGCGCAAGCCCTTGGGACATCTGACTGACCTGAGGTTTTGTGGAGTACTGAATTAAGTGGAACACATTGCAAAAATACCAGAACATTCTTGCCTGTCCTCCATAAGCACCACGATAAGCTTGCCGTTATCAGTTAAAGTTTCTGAGGGAGGCGCCTGGGTGGTCGGTTAAAGCAGGATGATTAAGCATTGGACTTCAGCTCAAGGTCAGATCTCAGGATTCATGGCTTCAAGCCCTGCATGAACTCCGTGCTGATAGCTCAGAGCCTGGGAGCCTGCTCCGGTTTTGTGTCTCCACCTCCCTCTGCCTCTCCCGGCTCATGCTCTGTCTTTCTCTCTCTCTCTCAAAAGAATTAAAAAAAGTTTCTTACAGGGAAGTGAAGAACCTGAGCTATGTTTTTTTTTTTTTTAATGTTTATTTATTTGAGAAGGCATGAGCAGGGGAGGCAGAGAAAGGGAGACACCGTCCAAAGCAGTCTCCAGGCTCTGTGCTAACATACATGCAGGGCTCAACCCTGAACCTGAGAGATCACGGTCCAAGCCGAAAGTGGGATGTTTGGCTGAGCCACCCAGAGTGCCCCCCTAACCTGGCCTATGTTAAAGACTTCTGATTGACTGCTTAATTGTATGTAAGCTCATTTCTTCTTTTCTCTTCCCCCCCCTCGAAAAACTCCTGATGGCACTGGGGTAGGAAGATGGCGGACATTCAGTTCATCATTTCTCCGTTAAGCTGGTATTCTCCAATAAGTTGCTTTCTTGCCCAACACCTTGTCTCTCAACACTGGCCCGTTTGAGACATTCAGATAGAACACAGGTTCCATGACAAACAGGACCCACATCTTATTACAACAATACGGTGTGGAGGGCGTTTAAGAAAGATGAAATGGTTTAGCTAGAGTAGCCAGCCAGGCGCAGCTTCCAGGGCATCACCCCTGCCTCTCCTCTCCTAAGCTAGGGGTCCCAGTGGAAAAGACCATTAGCAGAAACTTTGCTGGAGAGCAAGCGATGCAGGGTAAATTCATGCGGGGTGGAAGATCACTCTAGCCAAAGCAGGTAGAGGCGGTAGTGGAGGCCACTGGTCCCCTCGGGGCCATGGCCCTGATGGTCAGCCTCGGCATGGCTCAGTCAAGAGTCTTCATGCATAATGTAGCCCCCGACGGAAGAATGAAGCCTTTCCGGCTTTAAAAGGTGGCAGCAGACATCCAGCAAAAGCTGGCTCACAGGATAAGAGGATGGCGCGCCAGGCACTCAGGGAGAATACCTGACTTTCATATCGTTAAAGGTGCTAGAAACAACAAGCAAGGCTGTAGTTTTTTTCAAAAGTTCGCTAATACATCGATAACCGTAATGAAAAAATTTTTAAGGTCAGGGCTCAGAAGAGAGATCATCCTGAAAGGCAGGGGAATTATCTGGGAGGAGGCAGGCTGAGAACAGGGCATAAGAGAAGCCACCAAGGTCCCAAGGCAGTGACACAGCTGAGGATGGCCTTGAGGCCGAGGAAGCCAGCCAGGGGTGGGGCGGAGGCACTCCAGGAAGTGGAGGAGGGGCTGAAGTGAGAGGAGCTTTAGAAGGCTGCGGGGCCCCATGGCCAATGCCCCCATCTGCCTTCTCCTGCTCTGTTATTCTTTGTCAGCTACTCGGAAAGACTGTTAAGTCTGTCCTTTAGAAAACCTCACGGTACCCAGCTGACCCCCAAGAGTCCTCCAGGAAAAGGGTAGTCCTCAAACTGGTCTCATGGTTCCCATAGTTTCCCACCCCTGGAATCCCTCCTCCCGACACTTGCTTCCCGGGGATCTTGCAGGACTTGCCATTCATTGATCATTGCACTTTATCAGAAACAAAAGAAGGAAACACCTGGGGTGGCTTGGAGCCCAGGTCCTCCCAAATAAACTGGGTGAAAAGGACAGGCAGAGTGGGGTGGGGGTGGGGAGCTGGAGACAGGGCCTGGGGGCTGGAGCCTGTACAGTTAGACCCCACTGAACAGCTGGGGGCCTTTGGGTCTGTGCTCACAGGGGTTCTCTGATGTCTGCTGGTGGGCCGGGGCGGGGGAGTCACTGGCAGCCCTGCCAGGGAACAACCTGGGGGTGAGGAGGGAATAGGGTTCTGACACAGAGTCCCACGCCCACCCACCCCCCAGACCCAGTGGGCAGCAGGGGACCAGTGGCGGCTGCATAGGTCCCTCTGGCCCCTTCTATCCTCCTTTCCTTGGTTATGCAAAGATGGCCAAGCACCACTAATCTTCCAAGAGATCTTTGCCCGGCAGCCGAGGACATGAGCCTCCAGGGTGATGACGGAATCTGGCCCCTCTGAGCCAGCAGATAGTAGACTGGATTTCAGGAATGCAAACCCTGGATCACATGAAACCTTCCCCAAGGCGGCTCTCTGAAAAGGTCACCCAGCCAGTCCAATCACCCTTCTCAGACCTCTCAGAAGCTTTACAGCAGGCTGGCCTCCTTTCCTCTTGCCATGCCCTGCTCCTTGGTTCTACCAGGCAATACACTATCAATTCTACTGTTGGACCACCCTCCCCAGCCTTTTTTTTTAATGTTTATTTTTTGAGAGAGGCACACAAGCAGGGGGAGGAGCAGAGGGAGAGGAGAGGGAGGGAGAGGGAGGAAGGAGAGGGGAGACAATCTGAGAAGCAGGCCAGTACTGTCTAGCACAAGAGTCGACAGGGCTTTCAGACCGACGAACTGAGATCATGACAGGCAGTGAATTCTTAGCTTGACCCCTAGCAGAGCCACAAGCCCCAAAGGACCACCCCCCCCCCCCATTCTAATTTCTGTCTCACCCTCCTCACCACCCCCCTAAATGTTGTTGGGCCCTTGGCTCCTCAATATTTTCTCCTTGGAGGCCATTTGGCATGTGACCACAGGGATAGTTGGTCTTAAATGACACCCTTAACTTCCTACACAGAGCAAAAGCAGACTCCCACTAGCCGACAGGCTCACTGCATAACCTCTGGTCAAAAGAAATGGGTCTTAGCAGATGTGTGCAGCAGTTCCAGCCAGGTCTCATCTTCACTGCTTTTTTTTTTTTTTTATTTTTTTTAGCGTTTATTCATTTTTTGAGAGACAGAGAGTGAGCAGTGGGGGAGGAGAGAAAGCCTCCTCCACGAATCGAAGCAGGCTCCGGGCTCTGAGCTGTCAGCACACAGCCCAAAAGCAGGGGCTCAGAACCCACAGACCTAGAGTTCATGACCTGAGCTGAAGTGAACTGACTGAGTCCCCCCAAGGTGCCCTCAAAATAAATAAACTTAAAAAAAAAAAAAGCTCTTGAAGACATGGGCTTTGTCTGTAGCTCCAACCCCAATGGCTAAAAAAAAAGTCTAGGAGAGGATCCTGGGAGGATATTCCCTTCTTTTTGTGCAAATCACGGTAGCAATGTCCCCTGTGGTTCTGATCACAAAGCCAACTAATGACTAAGGAGACGAGTGTTGTTAGTACAGAAGGGTGCCCCTCATTAGCCAGCGGTGTGGAAGGAGAAATGGTGGGGGTAAGCTGAGGGAGGTCAGACTTGTTCCCGAAGTCCTCGAATGCCAAAATAAGCAGTGCCACAAGGATATCTATAAAAAGATTGCTTACTTTACGCAGTGGGAAACCAGGGTAAGAATGAATGGGTGATGCCCGCTCTAGAACCCAGGC